TTGCTTGGATCATTCCTTGAGACAGCGACGATGTGGCCTGGGTGTTACGGCAAGTACGTCGGTGTCCACGATGGTGGAGGCAGTGGTAGGTCGACATTGGTTAGGTCGCAGACGGATCCGGCCCTCCACACTAAAATCTGGCCATGCAGTGACGGCTGCTCCGGTGGGTGTGCCGATGCTGTCATTGGCGACGACGAAGGAGCAATGTGGCACAACGTCGGTGGGACGGCGGCAGCTAGGGCATGACCATCGCCCATATCCCCACCAGTGACTGCAACTGCCCCCTCCTTGGCAAGGGGAGGGAGAGAATGCAGTGCGACATGAGGGCAGAGGCCCTGGCGGTTGCTTGGCGCATTGGAGGGGGAGGATTAGGCGGCTGCCGGGAATGGTAGTATGGATGCCCCCCCCTATCTCTGTCCGCCGGTTAGGATGGGGGCAGTGTGGCTGGTTGTTGGATGTTTGGGAGGAAGCATCCTCGATGGCACAAGGTATGGTGACATCGGTGGCTGCTCTCCCTCCCCTCGTGCTTGGTAGTGCCGGTGACCTGGGTGAGCGGTGGCAGCGGGGATTTTGCAGATGAGGAGGGCCCCTGGCATGGGCGCACAACGGTGGGGCATTGGTGAGGTGGCTGTATGTTCAAGGTGCTCAAATAGTGGTAGCTGCAGGTAGGACCGTAGGAAGATCTCTGGGTGAAAGCCTAGTCCGTCCAGGGCCGATAGTGGTGACGCTTTCGAGCGACAACCCTCCTAGGGGTATTGTCTCTCCTTTGTGCTCCGGTGGAATCCTTTAGAAAAAAAAATATATTCCTGGTTTTTCCAGGACAGACGACGATAGTGTCATCATCGACAACGCAACATCCCTTGAGGCATCGTTTGAAGGGCCATTTCTTTCGAAACACTCTTCAGATGGTCTATCCTCTAGCAGCAGCGCACTAGCCAACGCAAGATAGCCACGTTGGCAGGCCTCACAGGGGAGAGCGGATCCATTCTTCATTGTCGCCCTCTCTCCCCTACTCCCAAAGACATGGATGGAATGGAGTGCATTGGGTCGGCGCTCTCCTTTTTGTTCTCAACAGTGCGACATATGTTGTAGGCACATAGTGTGGTTTGTCTTTTTTCCGGGTTATAGTCTCCAGGACTATTGTGTTGTAATTTTTTTTCTACTATACCAATATGAAACATTGTACTGTCTTATGTGGTTTATTTAAAAAAAAACGCATACATGAAGTTCCTTTCTTCCTGAAAATCCATTTCCTGCAGATTTCGTACTGAAAATCTGCTCGGTTAATGACCAGTAGGTGCATCGGATTTCACACAGAGCCACTGTGGTTGAATAAGGGCATGTTTAGTTGGCAAAAAAAAATTTGCCCCTGCATATCAGATATACGGACTCACATTTAAAGTATTAAATATAGTCTAATAACAAAACAAGTTATAGATTCCACCAGGAAACTGCGAGACGAATTTATTAAGCCTAATTAATCCGTTATTAGTAAATATTTACTGTAGCGCCACTTTGTCAAATTATGGTGCAATTAGACTTAAAAGATTTTGTCTCACAATTTTCCGGCGAACTGTCTAATTGGTTTTTTTTTCTACATAGGAGACTCCAGTATGTGTCCAAACATTCGATGTAACCGCGTGAAAAATTTTGTTTGGGAACTGGACATGCCCTGAGTAGCAGCCCAACAGAGTAGCAGACACCAACCTGAGCCAGCTAAGTCAGCTGGGTTCTGCGGCAAGATAAGCTAGCACGAGCAATGAGGGAAAAAAATGGCTCAGTTGCCTGACATCGATGATGGGAGCTACAATTTGAATGGAAGTCATCAGGATATCGATGGTCGCTTCAAGATACTTGTCTTCTCTACCCCTTATCCTGAGCATCCCGTTGTCCCTTCACCAGACTTGTCTTCTCTGCACCTGATTCTGAACATCCCATTGTGCAACGCACCAGCGACTCAGCCAGAGATTTGGTCTCTGTACACCTTGCGATAGGTTCGCAGTTGGGAGGATGGGATTGGCTGGTTGCGCTGGACACGAACCGGCAGGAGGACCACGCGGCTGGGGACAAGGCGGCGCCGGCCGGACCACGTCGGAGCGGCGGACTCCGCGGTAACGGACCTTGTCGTCCTCCGCACCGCACCTACTTGGACACCCGAACAGGGAGAAGATGGACAGCGCGTCGCTGCTCATGGCGAGAGAGACAACAGGAGGAGAGAGAGGAGCAACATTAGATCGAGGCTCAGAACGGCGGACGCAGATTCGGTGACATTCCCCCGTGACCCGTGACATTCTCAGTGACATTGAGTCACTGACATGCGGGACCCACATGAGCCTGGACCCACGTGTAGTGACTCAATCATCGAGAATGTCATGGGGAAATGTCATCGAATCCCAATCCCGGAACGGCCGAATGGGCGAGGAGCCAGACGGGAGATCGAACTGCATTAGGCTTGGCCTTACAGGGCCGGCTAGGATTGGGCTGCTCATTTGCTGCATTAGGCTTGTTTGGCTCTCGAGCTAGATCGAGCTGGCTCGTTATAACTAACGAGCTAAAACGCTGGCTCAACGAGTTTAGCCGAGCCGAGCCAAGCCGAGCTAGTCACGAGCTGAGCGAGTTAACCAGTTATGAGCTTTTCGTCTACCCATACGTATGTGTAGATAGTTGTGCCCATCACAACATTGACAGCCAGATTGTCACCTCTCCACGGGTATATTGGTTTATTTTCAGCGCAGTAGGATACACCATAATCCTTTTCTTATCAAATTCTTTCTTCTAAATCTGCTGCGTCGATGATGCCAAATGTTATACGAAATATGTGCTACCGGCACGAGGAATTAGAAGTGAGCGACTAAATTGGAGCAAATGCACGCTTTGCCCTGTTTATACCTAATACTAAAAGCATATCACTTTTCACTTACTAATTTTCCTTTCAGACTTCGAAGTCGGGAAGAGATTGTCCGTTCGATGCTGCTCTTCTTACAGAAAATATGGATATGCCCGGTCATTCACCATTTGGTGAGTAAATTTTTACTATGCTGAGAGCAACCACTGCTTAACAAGTAATACGTAGCTCATGCACCGAATTGAACCAGCCACTGTCGACACTCGACAGTATGATGGCGCGGCACACGGCTGTACAGAACGCACCTTGCAAATTCGATTGCAAGAAAGAATATTGCTTGAGTTCACAGATGATTGTAGAGTGGTCGGAATAAATGTGGAAATCATCAGGAGTCGAGGGACTGGAATGCTGAAGGACTCAGGAGACATTCGGGTGAAGATCACCAAGTCCCTGTGTCGGGATAACGCATTATTTTGAATGACTGATTTCTGTTGGTGTTAATGTATGGAGTATAGATGGCCATAAGGCCCGAGGCCCCAAGGTCCGGCCCACGGCACGGCATTTTGGCCTGGCGCAAGCACGGCACGGCCCGACTTGGGTCGGGCCTGTGTCAGCCCAGCCTGACCGCCGGGCCATGCCTGGGCCTCCCCAACGGCGCGCTGGGCTGGCCCGGCACGATGGGCCAGCAGGCCAGGCCCGGCACACAAAGTATAGGGACTAAAAATAGACATATAAATGTCACTGTCCAAAACATAGGGACCTTAAATAGACTTATTTTAGTTATATATATATGTCACAACCCAATAGGAGGAAGAAAAATTAGATTTATTCTGAGGAAAAGCAGGATAGGCCGTCGTGCCTTCAGGCCGGGCCGGCACAACCCGAGTAGTGTTGGGCCGTGAGTGCGGCATGTGGGCTGGCACAGCACGGCCCGGTGCGTCGGTCGGGCCGTGCCGGCCCAACAAGCCTCGGCCTAGGCAAGGCCGGGCCTGGGCCGTGCTGTGCCGGGTGGCCCACATGGCCATCTATAGTATGGAGTGCACTCACTCAACAATGGATAGAAACTTGATTCTTTTCAACTGCAGTAGGCTTTTCATGCAAATGGCGATGCATAGTTGATACATATATACTCTTAAACTTAAAACTTGGAAGTTTTTCTCTTTGGATATATTTTGGGGAAAAAATGTTTTCGTGGAATCCAATTTCTTACTGCACTTTTAAATTATATTTGCTCAAGAATGGCTATTATGAATTGTCATTCTAGTGGGCATCTGGAGCGAGGCGGTCAAAAAATACTATGCATATACGTGAATTTAACGAAGGAAAACCTAGTGATTACTTTAAAGGTAACACCGTGCTTTAAGATATATGGTACATTCCACTGAGCATCTTGAACTGGCTCTTAGAGCTTGGGGTTATTAGAAAGCCGTTAAATCTTTTGGCAGTAATTTATGACTTCTAACTTGTTTTTGGAAATGATGTCGTGAGTAGTTGTTCCCAGGTCCGGTTGGAGAGTAAGAGCCTAAGAGGACTTGCATCTAGTACCATTTTCAATGGAACAATGACGTAATTGAACCATCAAGTGTGCAGTTTTTTCAGCGAACGTGAAATGGATCATTCAAATTTGCATGGAAAGTTGATACATTCCCTTGTTTCTCTTTTCCTCTCATAACGATATGTGGGTCTAGGGAACACATATCAGTGACACATCAAGCTCAGAATCATGCGAATTTGCCGGTGGTAAATAAGAAATAAACCCTTGAAGTATTCCACATTCTGAAAATTATTCAAGCTTTTTGGCTACAAGCTGAATGTCTTTGCAACTTGAAGTATTTCACATGAAGTCCATAATATTCAAGATGGAAGTTTTCCAAATGCGGACACATTGCACTAGGATTTGAAAATATTACAAACAGAGATAGAAGAGTCGTCTCTGCTACAATAACTAGCCTATTAATCTTGTAACAAAAACATATGTACGAGGTGAACCGAAAACCACGAGGTCCACAATACTGAATATTGATAGATATATTTGAGCAAGTAAAAAAAATGAGAGAGAAAAATAAGTCACACATCTCACTAAAAAAATTAGAGCAAGTTGCACTGTTATAAGAATCCAATTTGAGATGAGAACTTACCAAAAGTTTCAGCATGAAGCATACAAAACAAATTGCATTAAATTCACACAAACAATTAATAATGTTTCACAAATGAGAACAAAACGTATTATTTAGGACATACAGATTGATTGTGGGAATGCACATGTTCCCAATAATATATAATGAAAACATCTAGAAATAATTCAATAGCCGGAGTAATATAATTTACCTTGCGAAACTAGCGGATAACATAAATTCTTGCTGCAAGCTATTGCAGTTTGAAGATGCTAAATTAATTATACCAATTGTATGAACTCCAAGAGGCTGATGCAGATTTACATATGTTTCGGATAGGGCTGGTTGCATCCCATGATTGCTTTCTGGGCTGGTACCAGCTGAACTGAAACCTTTATTTCTTACAGATTGTAATGACATTTCCACTTGCTTCATAGTTGGCCTTTCTTCACCTCGGAGCCTCAAGCATGCCTGTGCGATAGAGGCAACTGTATTTATCTCATCCTCGGTCGCTTCCTCAAGAACTTCAGGGGCAACTATCTCAGTAATTGGCCTTCCTTTTATCTCATAAAGGAAATAAATAGATAGATTTTTCTTTGTGCCAGACTCACATTCAAAAATGGGTTGCCTTCTGAGAAGCAGTTCTAAAAGAACTACACCAAAGCTATACACATCACTCTTCTCATTCAGATGTCCAGTATGGTAGTACTCTGGATCTAAATACCCGAAAGTGCCTTGTATATTGGTGAAAACATGGGTTTGATCATTAGGAATCAATCTTGATGCACCAAAATCTGCAACTTTAGCCGTGTAGTTTGCATCCAAAAGTATATTAGAAGATTTCACGTCACGGTGTAAAACTGATACTGATGCTGCGGAATGAAGGTAATACAAAGCACCCGCAGCTTCTGTAGCAATCCTCAAACAATCATCCCAAGACAATGATGATTCCCTATTACTTGTAGCACCATGAATAATTTGATTTAGTGAACCGTTTGGGACAAAATCATACACTAATAGAGGGACTTCGGTTTCAAGACAACATCCAAAGAGTTTTACAATATGACGATGATTTATCTGTGAGAGTATTGCAACTTCATTGATGAATTGAGTAATCTCTTCTTCCCTAATGATGTTAGGTTTTTTTATAGCCACCACACGTTGATCAGATAAAATGCCTTTGTAAACCATGCCGTGCCCTCCACTACCAAGAACACGTGTTGGGTCAAAGTTGTTTGTTGCCTGTTTCAGCTCTTCTAAGGAGAAAATTTTTGTGTTATCACTAGCTCTTTCATCAGATGATATAAGCTGCTGTAGTAGAAGGCCTTGGTTTTTCCTAAAATATTTTTTCCGTTGTTGCTTCAGAATGTCACTTCTTTGTTTACGGATAAGGAGTACCACAGATAAGCTAAGTACAAGAATTCCAAAACCAGCAGCCATACCGATAACAATACCTACATTTAGGGACCCTTATAAGATTTTTTGTATTTGCTAGTAAATAATTAATGATATGCTAAAGTATGCAGTGATAACTTAAATGAAACCTTGTTCTGATATGAGTCAATTAAGAGTTCAAATATTGAACTAATTAAATAACTTGTTGTACCAGTTTTTTTTTCTTTTAGAGTAGATTCAGATTCTGTGCCAACTTCTGAATATATAAAACAATGTAGAATAGAGAAGAAAATTTGATTAATTTTCATTTTAAAAAACAGTGTCTATGCATGCAGATACATTCAAGTACAAAAGAAAACATTTTGAGAAAGAATGTGAATTTCCTTTTCATAAATTGTAGGGATGTGAAATGGTTTCTACATGAACATTCAAGTACATAGAGGTTATGGCAAAACAATATACTCAGATGATAATATATGTGTACCAGTAAGCAATGGAATCTCTTTCCGACATGGTCCAATAGAAGCATTTCCTCGGGTACCCGCAGGGCAAAAACAATCATACCCGCCAGGTTTATTGATGCATTTCCCGTAGCAAAGGTACTTACTAGAATCCTCGCATTCATTAATATCTACAATCCAATTTATAACTTATGTCAAAATATATTATGTTGCTTGTGAATAAAACAAAAGCATGATGATTTATGAAAATGCTAGCACACACTTCAATACCATTCCGAATTTGGTAGTTCTAGAGTTTTGTTTTTTTGGTTGGGAGGGGGATAACTATGCGGTGAAAACTCATTTAAACCCGATCAAAAAGTCATGTAAATCTAATTATTTTTTTTAAAACAATATCACATTTAGATACACCACCTCATCACATTTTGTGAGAGTTTACACGAGTTTCACCTAAGTCAATAGTTTCCACCACAAATTTACTCATTTTCGAGGTTTTAACCGCAAGATACTTATTTCATTTTGTTTACAAGTAGTTATAACTAACACACATTAATTAACACATTCACCAAAGTCCTTTAGCCCTTCAACCAAAGATATTGAATACATCCACCAAAATGATGGAATAAGCTAGCTGGTCAGATTTGTTTTCCTATGCCAGCACAACAAACCTAGACAATTAAACTAGTGTGAATTACGGAGATCATAACCTGATAATCAGCTTGCTGTCCGTTCCATGAACTCAAGATTTGGCTAAAAGCAGATTGGAACAAAATAGCAGATTACCTCTCATCTAAGATATTAGTGTTTTCTTAATTTAATAATACATATGTTTCATGATAATAATTGACAAGTCGTAGCTCATATGAAGTATAAACTCTAGTTTTGATGTTAGCAGTTAATACTTACCAACTTGCACCTCATATGGACTCCTTTTGTTTTACCTGAAACATAATAATTTGCTTCCGTCCTAAATGGATGCTAAATTAATTCACACCTTTTTTGTCTACTTGGAAATTCCTAAAAACTGGCAATCAATAGGTAGACAGATAATTCCTTTTACAATCCTTAAGTAGGATCATTGATCTATGTAACCTAATAAGAGTAATCCTATACAACATGAGTAATAAATAGTTATCACAATTTTATAAAATTTTGATATCATACCTACTTATACCGCTATACCCTACCCCCCCCCCTCAATGACATGTAAATACGCTCTAGACAAAGATGCAATATTTTGGTAAATACATGTACTTTAAAGCTAAAGTATGCTAGTTGCTAATAGATGATATGTAAATGCAATACTCTAGCCAGCAAAAGCCTCTAGTTGAGAAATTTACCTTGGCAACCAAACGAATCGTTCAGGTAAGGATTTCCTTCGAATCCATTTTGGCAGTTGCAGATGTAACCGGGTCCGTTTCGCGAGTTCAAACAGACGCTATTGCTGCTTATGCACATGTAGGAATCTGAATTTGTTTTAGCTTGCTCACATGTGGAATTACCAATAGCCCAGTCCACCACAAAAGGTGGCTGGCTACCAAGATTGTCATTGAACCTTGATAGGGAATTGTAAACCGTGGAGAAATTAAAGCTGGATGTCTCGACAAGTGCTGCGTAAGCACAACGAGTCCAGTTGTAGATGTCCGTTGTGTTGAAACGACCGTCGAACCAAACCTTGTAATACCGGATCCCCTTAGGGATGTTCGTTTGGCAACAACCTATCCCAGAGCACCCGGCACTGTTGATACTCACGAGATCATCGCCTATACCACAAGTGGCCGCACAACCGATAGTTAGGTTGCTACCTACATCATTTTGTTCACCTGGGCCAAGATAAGCGAGCATACGGCACCCAAAGACAATAAACTTGTTAGCAGTGTCAGAGAAAGTGAAGGGACTCCCTTTCAAGTTCAGATCAACCATATCGACGCAGTCGATATCCTTCCTTGTCGTGTTGTAGCAGTCGTAGGACATATCCATCTTCATCCGAGCCTGACCTAACGGCAGCGAGATGCCGAGCACCTCCACGTTCCGCAGGAGCAGGGTGGGCACGCCGTTCCCGGTGTCGTTGCAGCTCAGCTTGAAGCCGGTCATGGCGCAGCCGGGCTGACCGGCGATGCCGAACGGGAAAGGGATGTCTATCTCACCGCACTTCCTCTGGCAGGATGCTGCAACAGCGGCAAGACATGCCGCCATTGCTACGGTGAGACACAGTAAAGTGGCTACCATTGTGCGGCGCAATACTAGTGGTGGCATTAGCAGCGCCTGCATCATCCCTGTTGTTTTTTGGGTGGAAATGAGGGCTTCTAATAGCTAGCAGCTCTGCATAGTGCATACACCACTGGAACTAGACTGTAGTACTATATATACTGCATGGTTACCTTGACTTGGACTTGCCCTAGCTCAAAGTCGTCTTCACCTAATATTTAGGGCATCGAGTAGAGACTGCATGATTGAACCAACAAATATGCTAACTGCAGCGTTAATTTACTTCATCCTGCGGTGTTCACAGTATAACTGATAGTATGTACTTTTTCCTAGCTCTGAACATCTGCACCGCTGACCAAGATTCTCATTCGATTTAATGTGAAGCAAGCTAGATTGTCATTAATTAGCTTGATTCCTCGAGTGGTTTATATGTACCAACTAACAGCTCTCTGTCCTCTGCTTAATTAGTTCGATTAATTAGGACCACACTGAAGATGTCTAGCTATGCTTCACCTGAGTTGTTTCAAAATTTTAAAACATCAACTCCAATAAATTAATGCATTTTATGACACAGTACAGTACCGGTGGTTGTGAACGGTTTACCATCCAGGGCATATATAACTTCGTAATATTCATTGAGAAAAATAAGAGAGCTGCATAGTAGAGAGGGATTGATACTATGTGGTGTGGTGTTAATTTTAAAAACGCGTTTAACATGCAGATGTTCACAATATAACTGATATATATGTACTTTTTCCTAGCTCTGAACATCTGCGCCGCGCGCTGACCAAGTTTCTCATTTCGATTCAATGTTGATATTTTGAATTGGTTTCACACATATTGTTCTGTTTAACATGCAAAAACCAATTCACATAACAATGTGACATATGTCATATGTCATTATCGGAATTTTTCCACATTTGACTACTCCCTCCGTTTCACAATGTAACTCATTGTAACATTTTCCCACATTCATATTTATGTTAATGAATCTAGACATATAACATCAATATGAATGTGGGAAATGCATGTAACTCATTCTAGCATTTCCCACATTCATATTTATGTTAATATGTCTAGATTCATTAACATCAATATAAATGTGAAAAATGTTAGAATGACTTACATTATGAAACGGAGGAAGTATGTCATTATCAGAATTTTTCCGTAATTTTTCTTACATTTATTTTTTTTTTATTATGATGGGCCTTATAGAACATTAATTATCAAATTTTTATGCTCTCCAAAAAACATTATATATGCATGAAAATAAACCCAAACAAAGGGAGAGCGTCACTTACACTAGGTAAACACATTTTTTTATGGAAAGCTCAACATAGAAATCATATGTAGTAGATTAATTAATTGGACTTGCATCAAGAGTAAACACAATTAAATGCTTAAAAACATCATTACATACTAGTCCAGAGACCCATAAGCCCTAAACAGCAAAGTTATAGTCTATGTGCACGAACACATTCAATCAGTTATATACGAGCTGTTCAAATCGTAAGATTATATTGAACAGTGAAAGGGACTTAAACACAAAGTGTTTAGTAAAACGTGGCCAATCGGGCGAAAACACCGTTCGGCTTTGATCATTTTCCGCTGGATCCCCATCCATGGACCGTAGACGGAATTCAATACTCGAGGCCAGCTAGGAATTTATGTTTTACTCCCTACATTTACTTTTGAGAGTTATTATTGGTAATTTTTTGTGACAAGTTGATAAGCACGATCACAACACCTACCGCCTTACGGTGATCTTAGAGTCGCCAACCACCGCAACCTAGCAAAAGCTAAACCACGATGGGTTTTGATAACTAAACCGGCTAGCGAAGCCGATTCTAGATAACTACCCGTCTCGTAGTCAAAACGAAAGGTTTTCAGGACAAACCTACAAAGAGGTGTGACACTCTCGCAGCGGCGACGGGTGATTTACGACGCAAAACGATAAAGATGAACAAACTAAGCGAAAACTAAAACCAATATGTAAAACGATTCGATTGATTGATTGTAGATTGGATAGTTACAATTGAACCGGCCATGTCCCTCATATAGGGGTTAGTCTTGCCCTCTACAGGCCCTCCTCCACGTCCAACTCGGGATAGAATCCAAAGGAAACCCGAAACATGCCTTCCCAAACAAGGAAACTTCGGGACTCGGCGAAACAGACCCGTACTCGGACTCTGCCGGTCAGACCAGTCACACACCGCCGGACTGACCGGCCCTCACCCGGCGGTCAGACCGGCCCACATACGGCGGTCAGACCGTCCCCACAGAGGAAAACTGGCAGACTTCCAAACTTTGATAATTTTCCCTATTTTAATCCTAGGTGCCAAATTTGGGTGTAAACAGTTATATTTTATCTTGGCACAATGACCAAGGATAAGTAATTTTGTTATGATCCATTTAAACATGCTACTAGTATTCATTGTAAACAAGCGATTCATTAATATTTATATTTCTCGACACTCATATAGCCAATCTTGTGTGGAAGAATAGAGAGTCACGCATTAAATCCAAGAAAGTTATTATAAGGATAGGTGGTTAGATTAAAATATGCCTAAATTTTCTAGATATGGAAATATACCTATCAAAAGTAGATGGAGGTAGTACTATTTTTTACAATTGCATAGGCTGTCACGTTCAGGAGGGCCATAGTGGTTGGGGGAGGCTGATTAGCGACCAGTCGCGCTCCCCGCGCGGCCCGCGGTCAGTTTCTCCCCTCTTAGTCTCTCTTCTCCACAGCACATGCATATACATTTGTATATGTATACGAAGTTTATACATATATATATTTTTGTATATATATACTTTTTAATATGTATATATTTTTTATATTTTTATGTATAACCAATATATACACATTGTTGGAGGTATACCACGAGAACCTTCGGCCGGGAGAACCTTCGACCGGGCCTACTGAAACCAAGGACATAAGCAAAGGCGCGGGCTGGAGGCAAGCGGCGAAGGTCGAAGAGACAGCATCGGTGAAAGCCAAACGGCAAAAGCCGTGGCATCGAGTTGACCAGCTTCGCCAAAGAAGGACCCTGCCGGAGGAGCATACGGTTGAAAGCCGTGAGGGGAAAGCCTTGCCACGAAGGGCATGGGTTTTGCCAAGTATCAAACCTTGCAAGGAGAAGGCCCAGCGGGCTAACATGCCTTCTAGAGGCTTCGCCAAGGACTGGGCTGAGTCACTTGGCCATTAGGAGCCCATGCAAGCAAAAGACGCTGTATGCCCGTAAAGATGTCCCTATCATACGGGCAACCATGTAAATTCTCCTGTAAAACCTAAAATACTAAAGGAAGAGTCTATAATAGGGCTATAAATAGCCCCTTAGGGCCATGTAACAAGGAGACCTGAAAAATTTTTACTAAGCAATACAATTGTCTTTACTTCGAACCACTGTTGGGAGAACCACGTCTTTCGACGTGATGCAGTTGTCGAATCGACAACACACATATACAAAATTTGTATACGATATATACAAAGTTTGTATATATAAAAATATACCAACTTTGTATATATATATATATGCAAATGCATATAAAAAACACATATACAAAGTATGTATACGCATATGCAAAGTTTATATACGTGTATATAAAGTTAGTATACGTGTACATAAAGTTTGTATACATATGTATTAAAAACAAAAAAACTGAAAAGTATACGGAAAGAAAAAAAAGAAAATGAAACCGTCCGGCAAAAAAAAACCGCAAAAAGAAAAAAAGAAAAAACTGTGGGAGAAAAATAAGAAAAACCGCGCGGCGCCGCCACCCGTGCCCCCTCTCCGTGCGCGACAAGTATTCAGTCGTGTAACTAGTTGTGCAATAGCATTCTCGATAGCAGTTAGGCACTAACAGACATGCCAACGCAACTGGCCCTCCTGTAAAAGACCGAGGAAGATGGTGAGAGAGAGAGTAGGATTTCCCCACTCCCCACCAGCACTCGCGGAGACGCCCATTCACCCAGCGCGCCGGCGATGAGCATGGCTGTATAGTAGCAACGGAAGAAGCCGAGTGTCGGTCGGTGGCAGTGGGCATCGAGGCGGTGCACGACGTGGTTGCTGGTCAGCAACCCATCGCTCCTCGGTTGGCAGGGACAGCGCGCGGCGGTGGATCGGCGTTGTTCGGCAGAGCTGCCTCCACCACGATCCACGCATCCTCAAAATGGCAGTGGGTGTAGGCTCAACTTCGATGTCGACTGAGGCTCCTGCAACGGAGACTAAGCCGTGTCCAGCCATGCCGTGATCCCTATGCAAATTAAAGGTTGGCGACGGATGCTCCATCGACCTCCCACCATGTATCCAAGGTGCATCGGTGAGAGATTAACGGTGATTACTTTACTGCCTATCCTTGGTATAAGGTCCTGCGGCAATGGCAACATGGATTTGGTCCCACTCGTCTTCAGCGGTTTCCTGCAACAACATCGACGTACGTGATAGCAGGTGGCGTTTCCTACAGTGGCGACCCAACAGAGCATGGGCGGTTTGGCAGCGGTACACATACTCCTGGCGTGCTTCCAACAAGGATGAAAGGTCTAGAAAGAGCGACTGAGATAATGGCGTTGGGAGATGCAAGGATGGGGTGTAGGGATGATGCATGCCTGATTCAGCCCAAGCGTAACTGGGTACGTTCAGTCCAAAGGGGGCAACTAATCAATTTTTTCATTTTGTAGACACGGTTTTCTTCCATTTTTTCCGTCATGAAGCAATAGATGCAAATAGATGGAAAGTAGCAAACTAATCTAGTGCTACACCTTAAGTAGGAAAAACAAGATCTTGAGGAAAAGCAAGAAAATCTAATCAATTTACTAAATTTACTAATGGCAATCAACAATTATTAAAATAGATTGATCAGCGCAGGACGACTCGAAGGAGTGGCAAGTCAGATGGTTACGAGGAAGCATATGTAGTTATAGCTGCCCGACGACATCAGTCTAGCAGTAGTGATCGATGTTGATAGCATGTTATAGAACTGACTACGTCGACGGCTCGTCCAGAACTGCTGCCTCCTCTTATGCAAAAGATGAAGCGCTAAATAGATCTAGAAGCTTGTATCCCATTGATCCCATTGTGGAGCTCTCTAATGATTTGTGCGTACAACTATGCACACGTTGGCCCTCTATTTATAGATCGAGGGTGACTAGAGTTGAACGGGTTTACCTCGAAAATCAATTAGGTCTACTTATTAAAAAAA